CAGAGGAACTTGGAGGAGCTAGATCTGGGCTCACAGCTGGGCCTGCCACTCTACTGCTAGTATCTTTGGGTAAGGGACTTCACCCTTCCCAGCTTCCCTGCTATCCAGTTACAGTGCAGAGAAAGACAGAACACATCTGACACATCAAGGCTAGGGTGGGTAAGTCAAGGTCTAAGTACTCAGGCTTTGGAAAGAAGTACCTAAGCAGATCCCTGCAGGCCAGCAAGGAGGGTGAAGGCAGCAAAGGCCACCGGGCACCCGCTTCCCTGAGGCCTAACACTCCAACAGGAGACTGCGCACAGCCAGCGAACTCTCACTGGCGGGGCACACCTGTGCCTAACACCCAGCTCATGAAAAGTAACCTCGCCCATCTTTTTCTATCCACTATGGCCCCCCCTGGGTAACAGTCCCACCACCTGGTAATACCATAGGTTTGTTTTGCTGTTTTCGAACCTTATATAAATGGAATGACAGAATTTTCAGGTATTCTTCCACATCTGGCCCCTAACAGTACATCTGTGTGAGCTAACAGTACCACTTCATGGGGCTACAGAGTGTCTACTCTTGTCCCTGTATGGGACACCATGGTGACTACTGCCGTGACTTACCTATTCTATCCTTGATAGTTTGGGGTAGCTCCGAGCGTTCTACAGCATTTCTTTTGGTGAACCTATAGACACATTTCTGCTGGCCCCATACAGAAGTGAGCGCTTATGGGGCACATCTGTATTTGGCTTTAACAGATGCTATTAGTTTTCAACAATGCTATGCTGACTTACGCTCCCACCATCACATCTGACGGCTTGGGTTAAACCACATGCTTTCAGTGCTTGGTGCTGTCCATTATTTTCGCTTTGGTCGTTCTACTGGGTCTACGATGGTATCACCCTATGGCTGTCATCTGCATTTCCCTGAGGTGTGCTGAGGCCGATAGCTCTTCACATGCTTTCTGGCCACTGGGATACCTTCTGTGGTGAAGTGGAATCCCTGAATTCTGCTTCTCTAAGCACCTAGCATAGTTTCTGTTTTCCTCAACACACTGACTGACAGACATAGGGACAAGGATGAGTCCAGTGTGTCTGGAATGGGCATGGTTTCTTGAATGAGGTCGGATCCAATTACAGTCCTTCCTTAAGAAAGTCTGAGTAGAAGCAGAGAGAGAAAAGTGGGGAGAAAGGGCTAGCTGCAAACAGGAGCAGTGCAGAGAAGGACATGCGCGTCTGAGAGGGACAGGAAAAGGGAAGGAGCCAAAATACAAGAATATATACAGCTCTGAGTTTCTCCCATCCTCTCTGACTCAGTCTTTAAAGTGAATACCAAAAAAATGCCTTCTGTACTCTGCAGCTGCTGAGTTTGGAAAATTGGTGCCAGGCCTTTTACAGAACTGGAAGTCCCTCTGGTCACAGGGAGCAGCACACAGGCCTCCTCCCATCTGGTGTCCCAACCCCCAACTGCTCCTTTCCCACCCAAACCAGACCATAGACTTGGTGAGGCAGCAGCCACAAGTGTCTGAACCATCTCTGCACCTGTTCTTAGTAGGTGCAACCACTGTGTAATCAATGAATGGCTGTGCATTTATTAAAGAAGAGGACAGAGGATGGAGAGAACATTACAAGAACTGTCAGATTAGTCTGACAGTGAAAACTGGGCTAGAGCACATAGACACCATGACTGATGTGACCAGAGTCAAGGCTGCCACATTACTGAGCCAGAACTAGACTGGTGTCTACTAGACCCCAAAGCCTGCTTGTCCCCACTACCCTACTCAGCTTCATGGCCAAAAAAGAAGATAAGGCCTGGACCAGGACCCACATTTCTGCTAGAAGACACGAGTGTGCTGGTTCTGAAGAGGCACAAGCAATTCTGGGTCCCAGGAGAGCCAAACCCAGCATGGTGAGGGTGGACCCCACCCCTAGTTCTTTGGCTTCCTGTAGGATACTTTCCTACAAAGGGGTGGCTGAGCAAAGGCTCTGGAACCAGCTTTCCAGGGGACAGAAGTTAAGACAGCAAGTGGTTCAGTAGCCATAACAGACTGGTAGTCGAGGGTTTCACCCTCATGGTCCTCTGCCCGACGTCCAGCAGTGGAAGGTGGCCTTGTTCTCTGACACTGCCGGGCATGTGAGAAGCACCTTCTGTACACTGCACAACTGAGGGGGCTCCTGAGCAAGCAGAGAAAAACCTGATGAAGCCCCCAAGAGAAGGCCTCTCTGTCCCAGAGAGCAGGTGCTGGGTTGACCACTTTCAGTGGTAAAATCTACCTCAGCAAACATGTGTGCCCACATGCACAGTCTGATCCAGACCTGAAGCAGAGGCCCCAGTCCACTGTGAAACCCAGCCAGCATGTGCTAGGCACCCAGCACACACCGACTCTTACGATATGGCTTCCTCTAATCCTCCCATCAACTCCCTGCAGAAACCTGGTGCATGTGTTTCACAGATGAAGAAACTGAGGTGTAAGAAAGTGCATGGATTAGAGGACGGAGACACCGAGCTGCGTAGGGCCGAGGTCCATGGATTCAGGTGTGCATGCTCCGCCAGCCGTCCCGTGCTGCTGCCCTCTGGGAACACCTCATCCGGGGCTTGTCCTCAGTACTGTCAGCCTCCCACCAGCCCTTGCTTCCTTAGCAGCTCACTGCTCTCAATGGAGAAATGGAAAAAATACTTCTCACTTAGATCTTCCAGGGTAGGCGTGAGAAACAATTATTCAGAAAGATTATGAAGTATAGAAACCGTACAAAATATGATCTCCACGCTTGAGAACAGTCAACTAGGGAATAAATGCTGCAGTACACAGGGTGCAGAAGTCTCCCCGAAACTGAGTCTGGGTTCTGTGCAGTCTTTCCCTGCCTGCCAGTCACAATGCACAAGTGGAGACCCAACCAGCACTCTTGGACAGTGTAACTGGGGACAGTACCCCCAGATGAGTGGACAGCAGGACACACCACAGCTCCTCCAAAAGCCCAGTACCAACCTGCTCCCACCCTCAGACCACACTCTGAGCTGTTTTAGGTGGTCAAGGAGGATGCAGTAGCTGATTCAACTTTCTCCCTGAACCAGTTTCCATGTCAATTTCTAAACTTCAAGGGAAATGGGGGGAGGGGGAGGAGCATGGTGATTGGAAGGTCCTGTGTACAGATGCTAGAAATGTCAAGGTCTGTGAGTATTCAACAAATGAAAGCAGAATAGTCTAAAAGCAACAGCTAATAAAAAAGATTGCCAGATGCTGCGCTTTCTATCTTCCCAGCCATTACAGGAATAAAATCATCCACCGAGAAGATCGAAAACCTTTTTCAAAACTAACACAATTAAGCCTTATTATTCTGCCTCTTCTCCTCCTTCCCTGACTCCCCTTTAATCCCCTCTGTCCCCCTGCACCAATCTCCATTTCCCGAGATGTTAGAGGTGCTCTCTTTTTTTATTATCACCAGCAAAATGCTGTATCTAAGAGTCAGAAAGGAGATCATGTTTTTGCACCTTCTTCTGGAAGCATTTAATAACGGTTCACAATCACACAGGATAATCTGGATTTTTTTAAAAGCCTACATCTGCATACGTAAGGAGTTTTGACTTCACTTTATGATGAGTGGCATAGAGCAGATGAGGAACAAGGGCTCAGCCAGAAGAATCTCCTCTCCTTCAGCAAAGCAGAGAACTGATTTAAAGAGGAGAACTAAGGGAGAGACGGGAGAGGAGAGTGACCGGGAGGAGATTCAGAGGAGGAACACTGCGAGGCCATGTGCTCCCCTGTCCTGAACAGACACATATATACAGGCCTCCAGCAGCCAAGCCCAGAGAGAAAAACACAGGGGAGCACAGAGGAGACCAAAGAACTGCACAAATAACAACAACAAAAAAATTTAAAAAGTCCTGTGCCTATGAACATATGGGCAACTGAGATAATTAGAGCTATGGCTGGCAGAGTTTTTTTTTTTTACCCTTCTCAGGGATCTCAAATCATAATCCTTGTCACTATAAACCTGTACATGAGGTTGCTCTGTGAAAGGTTGGCTTGTTATGGGCCACTCTGAAAGCAGCTCAGAGATGCATTGTCATTCCTCAGACTATGGGATGTCACCGCCAATGAACGCTTCGTGTTCACAGCTAGTCACTTCTGACCATCCCTGAACACCCTGCCGAGGTGGACAAGTGGGAGTCCCAAGAGCAGGGAATAAGCTCCACCCTGTCCCTACTACCTGGAATCCAGCAATCGCGTTTCTCCCAGGCTCCACTGTGGCATGCCACGGGAGAAAGCCCCTGTGGAAAGCAGGCCCCTCGAGCTAACTGTCATTTGCAAAGCTCCAAACCGTGACAAATGATTTGCGAAGATTTGCCTGCAATATGCTGATGGCTCAGGTTGCCTGGCATGCTGTCTCAGGCATGAGGAAGAACAATTTTTTTTAACCTCCCTACCATCCTCTCCCACGTTTTAAGCCATTTCTCTGAAAAATCTGTCATGATCAACAAATTACACTGAAAAAAAAGTAAGCAAGTTACCAAATGAATTTTCAAGAGTTGTAGGCTTTTTTAAAAGGCATGATGATGTGTCTTTAAATCTCATTCATTTCAAAGGCGCATCCTTAGAAAAGTGGTGAGTGTGCACAGCAGTGCACTTTGATCTTCCCAACTCACAGGAGAAAATCAATAATACAACTTTAATGTAGTTGTATAGCAAGACATCACGTTATTATTATTTTTACCAGTGCAGCTTAACTACACTGAAAAAGGTCTCAGCACCGCCCTGTGGTGAAAAAGAATTTTTTCTAAAATCGAACTATAGCAGAGCCAGCCACACTCAACAAAAAATGGGACCAATTAAAAACCAGTTACCTCAGTGAAAGCAACTTGTTGAAAGGCCAGGTCTGTTGTGGTGCTGGCTGTGGAACGTGGAGGCTTTGTCACAGAGAGGACAGGGCCCTGGACTCGCAGGCCCCTCTCCACCCATGACAGCGGTGTGGTCTTTAGGAGCTGGCCCCAGGAAGGCAGCCAGGAATGAGCCTTACCTTCCTCTCAATGCGCCCCAGCTGCTCCTTGCAGACGGCATCCCGGCGTCTTAGCTCTGCTTCTCGGCTCTCCAGCTCCCTGGCCTGCAGGGAAGAGAACAGAGGCCCAGTTGGCAGCAGCAATAGTGTTGGACTACAGGGAGAAAGCAGCTAACGTCTCTACTCACCACGTTCACAAGAGCAGTGGCAATCAGGTGTATGCCAGACCGTTCACATGCACTGTGATGTATTTTCACAGCAAACCTTCAAGGTGGGGAAATACAATCACTGACATCGGTGAATGCTTACTATCTGCCAAGGACTGTTTTAAGTGCTTCCCCAAAATGCAACCTTTGGTTCTCACCACACCTTTAGAGGCAGGTAGGGTTACTGTGGTGCCCGTTACAGAGGAGATGACAGATGCACAACAGCAGGGTAAGGAACTGCCCCAATCCTCACAGCCATCAGAGAGGAGCTGGGGTTTGAACCTTGGGCAAGACAGGTGTGCCTGATCGAGGGGCTGTGTGGCTTGAGGCCACTGGCCTTAGCGTCCTTACACTTGGCACACCATGCCACGACCTCACGCTCTGAGCTGCAAGCGGTAGGGATCCACATGCACACTAAGAAAAGCTCCCTCACTCCCTGATGGGGAATGAACAAACCCGTTAGGAGACACATCGAATTACAGTCAGGCCGAGAGCTCACCTCACCAGAGCAAGTGACCTGGGATTGAGCTCAGCCCCACCCTTGATTATCTGGGTGACCCGGAACAATTTCCTTAATTCCACTGAGTTTCATCTTCCTCAGGTATGATGTGAAAAACTGGAAAGAAATGCAGAACTGCCCTCCCAACCCACAGAACTATTTGGAAGATTATAGGAAACCCCAAGAGAAATAGGCAGGGTCATCACAGGCCTCCACAAAGGGGGAGCAACATCATGGCAGACAAGAACACACGTTTCCTCACTGGGATAGCCACACCCCAGAGGCGTTAGGGCTTCCAGGACCAGGTTCCAAGGCTCTCCACGAGCAGTCTATGTACAGTCCTGCACCGGGCATCAGGCAGACAGCCCATCTGGGCCTGTGTGCTCAAGACCCTCACTGTCCCTGTGCTGGGCCTGAGTATGACCAGCTGCTGTTACTGTGCCTGTGCTGGGCCTGAGCGTGACCAGCTGCTGTTCTAGGCTCTGATGGCACTTAGTACCCAGCACTCCAAGCACACAAGCTACCAACAGCTAAGGCAGGCTGTGAACCTAAGTCTGCATGACCTCCAAGGCCTGAGACACACGGGTTTGACTCATTCAAAAATACAGGGTGAGATAAGAACCAATGTTTTGAAAACCCACTTGGCAAGACTGGCATAAAACCTTTTGGAACCACCCGCAAGATGGCTGGTAGCAGGAGCTGGCGGCACACCTGTGCACATGAGCACAGGGTACCGGTGGAAAGACTCAGAGGGAAAGAGCCGCACTGAGCCAGGGGGTTGAGTCTGGCTGAGACTGAGAGCCCCACCCCCGAGTGGCCGCAGTGAGTATGAGCAAGTCGCTCTGCTTCTCTTGTGTATTTTCCCCTCACCTAGGGAACGGAGGAGCAGTAGTGACTTGGCTCCCAACGCAGCTGCAGAGTGTCTAAAAGTGCCAAAAAGGCTTCTGGGAAGCCTCTGGAATGCCAGCACTTCAGAAAAGCTAAAAACAAACAGTAGGACTGAATGCTGGGGATTTCTCCTGTGGTTTTCAATGCATGGTGCTGAAGCTGTGTCCCAGGAAAGCAAGCATGGCTCATCTGTGCTGGGGCCCTCAGCAGCCCGGCGCTCAGCTGTGAATGATCCCCGGTGCAATCAGAGCAGAAGCTTGTCTGATACAATTAAGAGCCAGTATAGGAACATCTCCCAGGGGTCTGGCCCTGCCATGTTCTGGCCAGTAGTCCCAGCCAAGCAGGAAGATGGTATCTGAAAGCAAAACCATCATGAGGCTCTTCATCTGCCACTCGTGAGGGGCAAGTGGAACAGCAGACACAAGTGTGTCTGTGTATCCATCCACCCTCCTGCTGACACACTGTGATGAGGCTACAGGAAAGAGCACGGCAATCCACCGTGTCTAGGGTCTGTGCCAGCAAGATGCTGTGTCAGGAGTGGGATGCAGAACTGACACACTACCAAAGATGCCCACCTGTCAGCACCTCCTCACGCGCACTACAAGGAACACTGGGAAGACGGAGGCCTTTTCTATTCAGCACCAGTCTCAGTGAGTCAGCAAGGCGGCCAGCCAGCTGCCTCTGCTCCAGCCACTGTAGAGGCCTGCCACTCTGCGCACCTCTAAGACTTACTTACAATGAAACCCCAGTGACTGACCATGGATGGGGGCTATGTACGTGGAGAGGCTATAGGAAATAAGCATGCTACAAATGCCTGGATGTCCGTGCCTGGCCCTGCAGGCACTCAGGGACCTGACTGTGATGAATGAAGGAGGACCTGCGACAACACTGGTCACTCTACACAGCTGCTCTGTAGCCTAATACCAGCTTCCCAGCTCTCGCCAGAGGCCACACAACATGCAGCTCTCAGTGTGACACTGGAATTAAGGAGCAGAGGCAGGTTTCAGGGGCTGAGTCCATAATTTATCAGATTATTGAGGGTCTCTATGTGACAGACACTATCATAGAGGGGATGGGGATACTACAGGGAAACCAGAGAGAAAGTTTCTGCTCTCAGGGAGCTTAGATCCCAGTAGGAGAGACAATGTGTGTGCAGATAAATAAGATAATTTCACAGAGTGATAAAGTGCTGAGAAGACCGCCAAGACAGAATAACTCAAGGGTAAGTGGGCTGCTAATTTCTCTGAGATTTCCAACAAAGTCTTCTGGGGGAAACATTGAATTAAGAATGCTGTCTCTAATTCAAAGGTAAAACCTCACCATGATGAAGATCTGTGTGGCAGAGGGTGATCTCTGAATGGAGACTGGGAGGAACCCTTGGTGACAGAGCTGTGGACCTCCTTCAAGCAAGTCAGCACAGCGAGTCCACTCTTTGATGCATCCTTGCTCCATACACATTATCAGTTCATACAGAAGAAGAGACAACTAAAAAGCTATGGATGGGTTCAAAAACAAGATTAAAGTGTCTAAAACAGAACAGAAATGCACAGCAGTAGGTGGGGCTGAAGCCACAGGCCTGCTGGGCTCCAGGTCTGGAACAGGCAGAAGCAGTCAGGACCTCCCTTTATCCTCCAGGATCAGAACAAACCACGTGCCACAGAGGCAGGGACTGGAGCCAGGGCGGCCACCTGAAGCCTAGGGCTGCCATAAAACGTTCCCCCAAGACTCCCAACCAAGGCTATGGCTTTCCGTTCACTGGTATCTAGGCAGTCCAGAGGCCACAGATTCAGCCCCAGGAGCATAAATGAGCCTAGGGCCCCAGTGACTTAGTTCCTGGCTCTGCAATGTCACTGGGGCCACTGTGGAGCAGGCCTCAGAGCCATGATCAGGCCATGCAGAGGGGTGCAGATATAGGTGACCACAGAAAACCTAAGCAGGGAGAAAAGACCATGTACAAAGTGAGAAAGAAAACAAAGCAATGAAAATAAACAAAAATCAAGCTACCTTTCCACTCAACAGGAGCCTGAAAACCAAATCTCAAACACATGAATAACTATAATTCTCAGAAAGGCTACCAAAAAAATCAGTATTTGAAATATGAATTTACTCCAGATGAAATTAATTTTATGGGACAATATGACAAAGATTTTTTAAAAAAACATTTTACTGTATAAAAATTCAAACATAAGGAAGAATAATATAATAAAACCTCAGATAGTCATTACCAAGCTCCAATAATTAGACCCTTGGGAGGCTTTCATCTGCACCCTCCACCCTCTCCCACCCCACGTCTCTCAAAGATGACCATCCCATCTATATGTACTTCAACACATCACTCTAAAAGACAGGACTTTTATTTTTCTAAACAGAATCATAGTACCACACTGCATGTAAAAAAAAAAAAAAAAAAATTAACATTAATTCCTTATCATCAAATATCTGGCCACTATCATAATTTCCATTTGATAAAGCATTGTAAATATGCATGTTTATGTAGTTCAAAAAAGATAAACAAAGAAATAACTGATGATTTTTTTAAAAAATTATAAATCTGAAATAAGCTAATCTTTGGGGTAAATATTATAAATATAAAATCTTCAAAATAAAAAACAAACTGGATAAAGCCTTATAAACTGAGGACAGTTGGGAGAAAAACTGTCAAGATCGAATGTAGGGCAGAGCCCTGAGCCCAGACTACGGTAATGGAAGACAAGGCTGCAGAGTCTGGAGGAGGAACTGAGGAGCAGGGAGGCAGGGAGCCAGACTGACGGGCAGGAGGGGGGGGGGGGGAAGAGAAAGCAGGGACCAGAGCCCGACAGAAGGCAAGTCAGAGGAGAGGGGGTCCAGGGGCAGGTGAAGATGGGGGAGGGGAGAGGAGAAAGATGAGGGTCTAAGGGAAAGAAGTGAGGAGGAGGAGAAGCAGATGGTAAACAGAAAATACCAAATAAATTTGAGGAAATAAGTAAAAAGGTTGTCACAATAAACATGTGGCAGGCAGCCTCCAGGCTGGCCCCAGCGATCTCCACGGCCTGGTACTAATGCCCTGCTGGGAGCCTCCCCACGAGTGTGAGCTGGACCTCCCGACTCACCACCGATGAACAGAATATGTCAGAAGTGAGTGCTGGGATGTGATCCTGAAAGACAGTGACTCCTGTCCCACTCACACTTTCTCCCTCGCTCTCGCTGATGAAGTGAGCTTCCGTGTTATGGAACACCCCACCGAAGGCACTGTGGGTGGCCACTGGCCAACATCAGCGAGGAACTGAGGACCTGGGTCAAGTCAGTAGCAGTCACATGAGCGAGCTTGGAAGTGGAGCCTTCCCCTGTGGAGCCTGTGAATGGAACAGCAGCGCTGACAGACCCTAAACCACAGCCTTGTGAGTTAACTTAAGGTAGGGGCACCCAGCTAAGCTGTGCCCAGATCTTCGACCCACAGAAAGCATGAGATAATAAAGGCTTATTTGTTTTAAGACACTAAATTCTGTAATCTGTTATTTGGCAACAGATAACTA